ATGGAAAATAACAAATGTAAGAGAAGACGTGGTGAGACTGAGACCTCCATATATTGCTGATGGGAATGTACAAGGGTGTAGCCACTGTGCAGAAGCATAGTGAATCCTTGAATCATTTAGCAGAACTACCTCAGGACCAGTCTCAGTCTATGCTGGATATTATAGCAAAATACTGTAAACTGGGTGACTTGTAGATAACATAAATGTATTTCTTACAATTCTAGAGACTAGGGACCTGGCGTGGTGGCACACATCTTTAATCCCAGCACTGGGGAGGCAGAGGCAAGTGGAGCTCTGTGTGTTCAAGGCCAGTCTGGTCTACATAGTGAGTTCCAGGCCGGCTGGGGCTACAGAGAGACCCTGTCGCAAAAAGACAAAAAAAAAAAAAAAAAAAATTCTAGAGAATAGGAAATCCAAGATCAAAGCACCAGCAGATTTCAGTGTGTGGAGAAGGCCCCTTCCTGTTCATATATGATGACCTCTCTGTAACCTCACTTAGCTTTCTGGGTTCTCTTTTATAAAGAGCCCCAGTCATGATTCGACCAACTCTTCCACATGCCCCACTGCCTAATATCACCCTGGAGCTTAGGATTTCAACATATGAATTTACTGAGGGAACACACACACACACACACACACACACACACACACACAGAGCCATGCCATTCCTAAGTATGTACCCAAAATAACTGAAAGTAGAGACTCAAGCAGATATTTGTATGCCAGTATTTAGAGCAATCTTCCTCACATTAGCTTAGAAATAAATGGACACATGTGTTGTATACATGCAATGGATGATTTATTATTCAGCCATAAAAGGAATGAAGCTTTGACATATGTTACATGAATGAACCTCAAAGGCATGCTGACTGAAACAAGACAGACAAATAAAGACAAATATTGTTTTGACAAACTATGTGATGCAGTTGTGCCTGAAATAAAAAACAGCCTGATTCTTAGCATCCATTTTAGATAACAGGGGACCCAAGCTGCTCTGAAATCCTGTTCCTTCAGCATTCTCCCAGAACTGTACTCTCCAACAAAAACCTTCCTCTCTCTTTTATTTTTTAATTTTTATTTATTTATTTTTATTTTATGTGTATGAGTGTTTTGCCTGTATGTATTTAAGTGTACTCATGTCATGAAACACCCCCAGAGGCCTGAAGAGGATGTGGATCCCCTGTAACTGGAGCTAAGGATGGTTGCTAGCCTCCATGTGTGTGCTGGGAACTGAACCCAGGTCCTCTGGAAGAGCAGCTGGTGCTCTTAACCACTGTGCTATCTCTCTATCCCCCCTCTCTTTTATTGAGACTGTATACCCAGTATGAAATGGCAAAGGAAAAGTACATTCTTATCAGAAGGATTTTGTCTCTTCTGAACCCGCCTGACCTAGTACAGCATGCATAACCACAAGCAGATATTATTGATTTAATCCCACCTGTTGCTTGCAAATGGAATAGCCTGTTGTTTTCAATAAACTTCCACAATGCTTTATACTAAAAACACACACATTCTTACATCATTCTAGGTCAAGGGCAAGAAAGGGTCATGAGGGATTAAGGCTATATGTTTAGGTTACAAGAGGAACACAAGGCCTAGTACATTGTTTTGCATTATAAGCAAGTTGAAATAGTGTTAAATAATCTCAAAGCATAAGACCATTTTTTTTAGTTGGAAGGTTAGTGTCCTAGTTTGTTTCTTCATTGTTGTGACAAAATACTCTGACCAATACCAACTTGGGGAGGAAAGGGTTTATTCAGCTTACATCTCCCAGGTCGCAGTTCATCAGGGAGCCCAAGGTAGGAACTCAGGACAGGAACCTGGAGGCAGGAGCTGGAGCACAAGCCATGGAGGAACGCTTCTTACTGGCTTGCTCCCCTGACCCCTGCTCAGCCTGCTTTCTTATGCAACATAGGCCCCCCTACCCAGGGGTGGCACAACCCGCAGTAGGCTGGGCCCTCCCACATCACTCAACAATCAAGAAGGTGCCCCATGTACATGGCCATAGGCCAGTCCAATGAAGGCAATTCCCCAATTGAGCCTCCTTCAACCCAGGTGTGTGAAGTTGACACTAAAGCTATCCAGCACAGTTAGATAATAAGTTATTTGTCTAGAGCATATACATATTGTAAAAGTCATTCCCATATTCTGGGAATTAATGTTTCATCTCATTAATAGAAAAAAAATAGGTCTGCCTGACTAGCTAAACAATCTCAATCATTATGTCAGTGTCTAGTTGCCTCCCTATGGATTAGGCACAGCTTTTCTGAAAGGTGGTCCAGATGATTGGTCAGACATACTGTCTGTATGGTCCCTAATTTATACTTACTCATAACTTTCAGATATATCAGAAGAGCAATAGCTGTCTATGGAAGGTGGCTATCCTGTTAAACTGTAAGATGTTAGCATCACCCCACCGCGACCCCAGTCCTTCACCCCCTCACACATAGATTGAGTAAAACAAATACAAATTCAAATCACTTCTTAGTTCTTAGCTAATTATATATATTGAATACCCAATGATTCTTTTGCTATTAAATTATAATTCATCTTTCCATCATTAAGAACTTAAAATTTTTAATTAAAATTTAAATGGTTTCACACATTTGAGAGACTACTCATTTAATAATAAAACTAAGCATGTGTTTCATTTAATAGTGGTATCAGCTATCAGGAACAGTCCATTTTTTTCTTTTCAGTAAAAGCAGTGCCAGTAAAAACTATACTTGGAGAAACTACTAGGCCAACCTAGCAACCACCAGTGCAATTTGGAACAAGATAATCTAAGAGAGGCAAAAGTTTCTTCCCACAAGGAGATTGTGTTGGTCAGCTTTCCATTACTATAACATCCCTGAGATATCAACTTAGAAAGAGGTTTGGAGGATTCCTTACACAAATAGCTGTTCTGGCTCAGTTTGTGTATGCCAGGCACAGTGTGGTGTAAGTGCTTAGCAAAGCAAATCTGCTTGCATCATCACCAGCCAGGGAGCAAAAAACAAAGAGAAGAGGGCCAGTGCTCCACTCTCTCTGTAGGTCCAAGCCACAGGAAAAAGTAAAAACTTAAAAACCTCCCATTAGATCCCACATTTTAAGTGTCTACTCCTCTCCATAGAACCACTCTGGGGACCAAGCTTTTAACACATGGGACTTTGGGCATAGTCTAGAACCAAGCTATAGTAAGTTCATGAGCAAGAAGATGTAGTCAGAGACAACACCTTCTGCAATGTCATTGAGAGATGAAGTAAAATATTCCAGGATTCTGCAATGAGAGAGGGGCTATGACTTCATCTGCAAGGGTCATTCATGGAGACTCAGTATCTCTATGGCCTGACTGGAACCTGTTATTTCTAAGAAAGAAAAAAAAATGTGTGGGGGAGCTGCTACTTGGAATAAATAGAACCACCTCCAAACAGAAGCTTCCTATTCTTACTGTTCTCAGGAACCTTGTTTCAGCCTCCACCCAAAATTAAAAGGGAGAAGTTTCCTCAGAACCTACCTCACAGGGACTTCTGCGTTCTGGAGGTCACCATACACTACACACACCCCAGAGGGATATTAAGAGAATTTGAGCAAGACCACTGGGCAGGCTGATAAACACCTGTATTCCTCTGACTTCACCTGGGTGGACACCATCAGTGTGCCCTGAAGTTAGTTGGCTGTCTTAGTTTCATGTATATTTTTATAAGTTTATTCAAACTTATATTCTTAAATATAAATAGTCCCTGGAGGGAGGTCAGCATATGCCAGTTTTCATCAAGGAAACTGCCTAAGCTTACCTCGAGCAAGCAGGCAGCTCACTCTGGTTTCTGCAGGAGACAGTATGGATGGAGGTCAAGACTCCAGTTTCTTCTACTTCCCAGGCAAGCTTTGGAATGACTTAGCCTCTCCCCTGGGGCACCAATCCACCGTGCTTATTAACTATTGTGTATTTTCTGGGTGTTTTAACTGGCTTTCAAATGAAACCCTGCCTGGTGTGAATACCAAGAGGCCTGGCAGCCCTGTGGCCTTCTTCTGCCCTCTGAAGCCAGCCCCACAGATCCAGAAGAAGAGATCAGGGGAGCCCTTCAACACTTGAGAGCAGTTCTTTGCTCTGATGGGTTCCTAAATTGTCCTGGGTTCCCTGTTTCTGATGTAAATAATTCACCACTTTTATAAGAGAGTTAAAGTCAGACCTTTATGAACCATGGTGAGCTTTGAGAGCTGGTAAAAGCTATCTATATTGCACCTGTGACCCCAGGACTTTTGGCAAGCTGCCCCATCTGAACTGGGATTCCATCCTTTCTCCCCTACCTCCAAAAGCGCTTGTCTGTGCAGAAAGACCTGCTTCCAACCTTGGAAATGAAAGTCCTTTTTCGGCCTCCTGCCCTCTTTGGCTGTGTCTCTGGGCCCAGAACATAGTGTCCTGCTACTCCAGAGCATACTAGGCGGGGACAATCCCAGTTTTGCCTATTCCAGGTCCCTGTTGAAGGCAAAGGCAACATCCCAAGCAGTGAGATTTAGAAGCCCCAACTTCCAAACTCTGGAAGCATCTCGAAGAGGAAACAATGCTTTCTGAATGTGAAGTTTCCTGCTTCCCGGCTAGCTGTTGGAACCATGATGCCTCAGCCTTTCTCCTCCTCTGTATCTCCCTCTCTCTCACACATAAACATGCCAGTAGCATCATAATCCAGCACTTTGCTCACTTTTATGTGCAATAACAGTCTGAGCGCTCACTTTTATGTGCAACAGTCTGAGAAGATTACTTAGAATGAAGTGTGGTTTGAGTTTGCATGGATCTTGTGCATGCTATCACCAATGCTGTAGGAGGCTGAAGCATCCTCAAAGGCAGACATTTGCTCTGAATTACTTACAACAGATGCTTAAAATGCCCCTCCCCTCCTTTACAGTGAAGACAACTATTAGGAAAAAAGGAGGCTGTATAATGAGAGTAAATACGGTAATCAAGGCATTTGCTAGCTCAGGTGCTGGACTTGGGACTTAGGAGTGCCAAATGAGGCCTCTTACAGGCTACGTTGGACCTGGGCTGAAATGTGGGTGAGACAGAGCAGAGCCCATATATCCTGGAATGCCATAGTCCAAGACAAGCCCAGAAGGAGGAAGCAGGAGGTTCACCCTTTCCCTGGGAGGCTAGCCTTCACCCCTATAAGCCACAGGCTAAGCAGAGACCTCTGTCTGCAACCAGGCAGCCCCTGCAGGTATGCTGAGCTCTGAGTAGAGCTATCGCTCCTGATTCTTCAAAGTGGACCCCAAGGGAGAAACCCAAGGAAGGCCGTGGCCACCGAGCAGGTATGATTTTGTTTCTCTTCCTTGGAGCCAAAGGCCCTCTGGCTCTGTGTAGAAACTATGCAGGAACACAGATAAAGTTTGAGGTCAGTAACACGGTGGGTATGGAGCATGTTGGCACCTTGTTCTTCTCCTCCTTCCTGGGTTAAATAAAGCCCAAGACAGCCACTGAATATTAAGCCCCCATGCCCTGCTCCCAGGCCTGCATTTGTCTTTGGGAAGAATAATCACAGTGGAAACCCCAGGTCTGTACATGCATTAGACAAGTAGCCAGCCCCCTCCAAAATAGGGCTGGAGTCCCAGACCCACTGCTGTTGTCTGAGGGAGCCAGGAACAACTTAACCCTGGCTCCTCAGGGTTTGTGAGGTTAGTACTGGCATTCCCCCGGGGCCAAGGACAGCAGCAGGACAGTCACAAGACCTCATAACCTCACTGATGGTCTCTGGGAACTCCACTACACCCATGTACAGTGGTCAGTTTTAGACTATTGCATTTTTTACCTCTGCTTGTGAGGGTTGACATCATATTTGCATGTCACAATCAGACCTGTCCTGTAGGTGTTCAGTGCCCTCACCCCATAGCACACCTTAGCTTGGCTGAAGCAAAGAGCAGAGACACAGCCTTAAAGCTCATCCACATCTAGGGCTTCTTAAGAGACCCCCTTTAGGCCACTGAACCTTCCCTTGATGAGTCAGGTTGGCACTGTCCCTGTTTGCCATTGCTTCTGGGAAGGTCAGTGGTCATCACCCAGCTGAAAGGTGACTAGATTATCTACACTGAGATCAATGTTTGGTCTCCAATGACAAGGCCAGAGTCTATTCTGAACAAGTCCTCAAAGACTATGGTTTAACCAGTCTGTTCATAGGAAGACTGTTTTCTATACATGAAAGTATCTGCTTAAAAGCATTTTTGATATATAATAAACTTAGTCTAAACCTGGGACTGGCAAGTTATGGCTCACAGGACAAATCTGGCCCACCATCTGTTTTTATAAATAAAGTTTTATTGGAACACAGTCATGCATTGCATATGGCTGCTTTTGCCCTCTAACAGCAGAATCGAACCATAGAAATAGTAAAGCCATAGAGCATAACATGTTAACTGTCTGGTCCTTCACAGAAAACATTTACCAGCTACTCTAAAAGCAAGCAACTTGATGCTGAATTATTGTGAAATAAACATAGTAGACAACCACAAAATCATTTAGACTATTTTTTAGGCAATCACTGTTTAAATTATGAAGTAATATATGATCGCATGCTTCTTGTAAAATGAAACAGCAGCATAAATACAGTTAAATTCTCCTTTGACCATCCTGTCAATCCTAAACCCCAATTCCCACCAAAGCAATGAACAATGAGGTGTTATGCCAGACCATTCTTTGCATTCATATATGTATACATGTAATATATATGTGTCTTATGTTGTTCTTATTCTGTTTTTCCAATGAGCATGACTTAGAGAGATCTATGTTCACGTAAAACTCTATCTCGTTTATTCAAACTCAAACTGTTATAAGACATTTTAGCATATAATATTTTTTAATTTTTAATTACATTTATTTATTTAGTGATATATGTAAGCATGCATGTCGTGGTGTACCTGTGGAGGTCAGAGGACAACTTGTGGGAGTCAGTTCTTTCCTTCCACCAAAATAAAATTCTGTCAGTCTCAACAGCAAACGCCTTTACCTGTCGGGCCACCTAAATAGCCCTATAATATTTTTACTTAACCACTTCTGTTTGGGTCACTGTTTAAGCTGTTTCCAAATTTTTCAGTCCCACCAATGAACCTCACTGTTCATGTATGTTTGCTTGATCACATGTGCAAGTGTTTAGAGCAGATTCAAAGAGGCCACAGCATAGGGTCCAAGGCTGTATGACTCAATTTTTTGACACGGTCATGGTCAAATGCCCATTTCAGTTTACACTTTTGCCAGCAGAGAAAAATGGTTATTAATTTTCCCCACCTGACACTGACTGTTCAATGGTTTTCACTTGGATGAGTAAAAATAGCAACCTACTAGTTTAAGATTTCAATTTCCCTGATTATAATTGAGCACTGGCTGCTCAGCCATCTCTCCAGCCCCTCCTTCCTTTCTTATAGAGCCTTGTTTTGTTTTGTTTGTTGTACTGCCTTTACCTGACCATTAAGCACAAAATGAGCAAGAGGCACAGCAGAGGGTAGTCTTGAGGCTGAGGTGTGCAGTTGTGTGGGCTGTGCACTACAATTCTGAGAAACATTGTTCACAAAAATGTAGAATTCTTGCTATGTTCTTTAATCCACTTTTATTCCATACTGTAAATTCATCTTTCTTGGAACCTTCTCTGTAGGATCTTTGAAGTTCAGACTGAAGCCATTTTTCTCTAGGGGATTTCAATACCAACTTGGATCACCATAAGCTTGGGGTTTACTGGTCACACAAGTAGTATAAATTCAAACTGAAGCCAGCCTGATTACGGGCTTGTTTGGGGGAATTCTCATAGAAACTGTTTCTTCCTGTTTCACCTGGAACCAAACTTGAGAAGGCCATGGGTTGTCATGTCTGCCGCTGTGGCATCCCACTGAGGGTATCACCCTGAGGACACCTTGTTTCATGCTGAAGGCCGTGATCTGACCCACCATGCCTCTTCCACCAGGCGTCTATCTCCTGTGTTCCCATGTCACCCCAGGCTGCAGGACAGGAGGAATCAGCTCTTTCTATCATAGTTAAATACCAACAATAAAATCCTTATTTTGACTTTAATGAGAATTAACCTTGTCTGTGTAGTAAAGGTTTTTGGAAAGCACCCTGTGTTGAGGTCATAATGTTCTCTTATAGCCCTCCTGGTTAACCAAGACTTAAATCATGAGTGGGCATTAAGTTTTAGCAAATGCTTTTTAGTCTCTATTAATTTGTCTAATTTTTGAAGAGAAGGATAAGATTTTCTCAACGCTCATGACTTCATAGCTGGGACTAGGACTCCTATAACAAAGGACAGATTATTAAGAGAAAACCAAGCAAGTTTATTAACATATCACTCACATGCTCATTCCACAAACAGAAAGCAACTCCCTGTGGAAAATAGCTCTCTCAAAACAGTGGCTAGGGGCGCTGGAGAGATGGTCAGTAGTTAAGAGCACTGGCTGCTCTTTCAGAGGACCTGGGTTTGATTCCCAGCACCCACATTGAAGCTAGCAACTATGACTTCAGTTCTAGTCACAGAATCTGACATCTCCTTCTAACCTCCATGGGTACTGCATGGAATGGGTACACTTAACATACATGCAGGCAATACACTCATACACATAAAACAAAAATAATAAATAAAAATATATATTGGCCGGGCATGGTGGTGCATGCCTTTAATCCCAGCACTCAGGAGGCAGAGGCAGGCGGATCTCTGTGAGTTCGAGCCCAGCCTGGTCTACATATGGAATCCAGGCCAGCTGTCACTATAGGGAGACCCCGTCTCAAAAAAAGGACACACACACACACACACATATATATACATATATATACATATATATATGTGTGTATGTATATAGTGGCCTGGGGACTCTGTCTCAAAGAATATTTTAGTAAGTTGTGTGTGGTAATGCAAACCTGTAATCCCAGCACTCAAGAAGCAGAGGCAGAGGCAGGAAGATTGCCACTACTTTGAGTGAGACCCTGTCTCAGATAAAAGAGCTTTAAAACAAAGAAGAGGGCAATGTCAGAGTTATTTCCACTAGCGACAAGAGAAAAAGGTGAGCCATGTGAGGTTTGCAAAGGAGAAACACTGAGAGGAGGAATAGTCAGTTCCAGATTCCACTGGCCCTGGTGGTGTTTCTGAGCCAAGAAGTCTTGCACAGTAACAAAGAGTTTCCATTCTGCCTGCAGGAGGGAAAAGAGGGAGCAGAGAGGGGCAGGGTTTTTGCAGTGTTCTGTCCCATTTTTAAGTAAGCAGGAAAGAGCATCTTTTTGAATTTTCACTGTTTTTAGCTCAACAATCTTCAATATTTCTAAAAGAAATAATTTGATTGTTTTCTTTTTCGCAGTGAATGAACTCTCTCAGTTAGATGGCTAATCCAAGATGACCAATAGTCACCAAGACCTTAGGAGGGGAGACCCTTGTTTCCCTGTGAAAAAGAACAGTGATTCAGGGAATGGAACCACATCAGTTCGATGCTTGATGAGGCTGCTGCTCGACAGAACCGCTGTGCTCTGTACTGAGCCTGAGTCTCGTTCTGTGCCTCTAAATGTGAGTGCAGGTCCTGAGGGGGAAAGTGAGGCCCTCTTTTGCACATGGTGCCTTTGAGGGAGTGTGTTTGGAGGAGGCTGAGAAAAATACTCTGCTACCTAGAACACATTCATCAACCCACCACCCCACCTCCTGCACCTCCAGGACTCACTGAGAATAGTTCCCAACTAAAAATTGAGACAGAGGCAAATCCAAACCCTATATACTATATGAAATAATTCTTGGTCCCTCTGAATCCCTGAAAAAAAAAAGGTCATAAAACTGTGGGCATTGTAGCAGTACACAGGTTCTGATAAGAGGCAGGCAGCTACATTGGAGGTCACCATGTCCTGTTAGGGGCTGGAAAGAGGTACAGAGTGTACTTGTATCAAGGGTCATGCCAGCTTTCACCTTGATCCAGGCAGTCACAAGCTGTCTGACCTCATGGATTCTGGTGACTGAGGCCCAGGAAGCACACAGGCCAACTTTCATTGATAGCAGCCCAGCTCTGTTTGAATTCATAAGACAGGGGTTTGTCCTCCAGAGATCAGCTGTGTGCCAGGGCCGAGGGGAGGAGCATTTTGCTTACCGTACTCACACCATTTCAAAGCATTTTTACCTCCATGAATGTCGTGACCATCTGTCCATTTACAGTGTAGCATTGGGTAAAGGTAAAGAAAAAGTGGTTCTGCGCTCACTGCCTTCAACCCACACACGTCACAGCCTCTCATGCCCCGCTGCATTCACCTAGGGATAAGCCCTGCTAGGCTGGCCGATGTCACAGGTGTCTCCACATGAAGT